AACAACGCTTAGAAATATAATTCATTACACTTCACGCGTTTCTTCCCATTATTGTACTGCTCGTATTATTATACTGCCCGTATTATTATACGGCCCGTCTTGTCTGTTCTGTTTCGCTATGCGAGCCAATTTGGTGTTAATATTCTCGAGGGTTTCCTCGGGTAAACTTACCACACATGATATTATTCTGGAACAGCAGGGAGAATTCCAACGCCAGCCGCCTTTCATTTATAGTTAGTATCGCTCGACAGAATAACAGAGAAAGCTTTCTGTACAGGAAAAATGACTCTTAGGTTATGTCAATAAAAACCGATTTCTTTTTCATTTCGTAGCTAAAATAGATTCTGACGGTCGTTAAGCTTTCTCTGCTGGAAAATTCTCGTTAAAAAATAAGCAATTCTTATGGCTAATGCAGGGTCTTCGTTTTCGTAGTACGAAAACGAAGACCCCCGGACTTTTGTTTTCGCACCACGAAATTAGTAACTAGTAACTAGTAACTAGTACTAGAAACTTGTAGTACTACTTACTACTTCGTTTTCGTACTACGAAACGAAGACCCTTTATTAAAAGCAGACAATCTTTTGAAAGTACGATTGTAGAAGTACGCCGAGCACTAGTAATTGTTATTTCAGCTTTTGATATGTTAAGACAGTTTGCGCGTGATTTTTCTTGTTCTTTCTTCAGCCACCACTGCTTTCGGCTCTTGGATTTGTTTTTCTATGTATTGATTACAAGTTTGGAACTGACATCCCTGTCGAAGGAGCGATCGGAATATTTTAGGGCCTCAATAAGGTTAAGCAGGCTTTATTCGGGCGCGTACTCTTTTTTTCGGCCTAGCGCGCATTGCGTGACGGACGTGTACAGTAAGAGAAGAACGATCTTGTTGTTGGTGGTGTGACAAAACAATGGCTTCCTTGAACAATTGAGGTGGAAGGCCGACTATCGCACGTGCGGCCGAGGGAAACATTTTTGCGCGAAACTTAAGCCACATGTTGAGATGGAGCGGTAAAAAATTCAACTATGTCGGTTTTTCGAAAGTTTAAGCTAATACGAAGAGGGTCACCTGGCAGCGAAATTGCAGAAGAGATTTCTCCAATTTTTTTTTTAGAGAGAAGAGAACCTCTGGGACCAGGGTATTGGGACACCTGTGGTAATACTAAAAATTCCCGCAAAGAATTCTGATATCGATAGCCACGAGACGTAATAGAAAATATGTTATTCATTTTTCTCCGTTGCAGAATTCAAATGAGTGTTTCAGTAGGCTAATATGCGTCATTTCCGTTTGAGGCACTTCATTTACTATACTCACGCATTGATACGGGGAAAAACGGGAACAGAAGCATAAGAAATGCTTCTTAGACAAGGGACTGGGTGACTAGCAATGCAGTTGATCTCTTCTGTGCTGCAAAAGTATGAATAGGTGAAGGATTATTTCTCAATGTCACGCTAATTTCCGGTGAACTAAGATCCCCGCCCGTTCGAACTGAGAGAGCAGAGGTGAGCTCACAGTGAAAACTCGTTCCGGTTTACCGAACACTGGACGTTTCTGTCAATCGCTTCCGGTTTTTCCGAGAATATGCATGACGTCCGTAGCAAGGCGACACCCCACGGCGGTGTGAGCGTTAATACTGCATACTGGCGTGAGGTAGTTTTGCAATATATTTAACAGAACACAACATCGTTCGTCTCAGTGAGCAGTGACAAGAAAGAAAATCAGTGCAAGGATCATAGCTGGAAAAGCAAGGTAAGAATAACACTCAGTATTAATTTGATGCATCAACGAGATCACCGCAACAGCTCGTGTTGATTTCCGCGTAGTGTTTACCACGCTAATTTTTCCTTTAAAGATATCCTTAGGGGCCTTTCGCGATCGGTAGCTGTATTATCTAGAGATCAGTTGGCTTTTGAATGGGTGTGTTGTCTTAGTTGGGCTGAAGTTACATTTTTAAACAAACACGACGCGAGTACTTTATTGCTCTGCTGATTTATACGCCATTCGATGTTGCATTCTGCTTCGACTAGAATTAAGAGATGATCTCTCAATCGCAACGTTTTGCAGGTTAAACCATCCGTTTTCTTCGAAGCGATGCATAAGAAATTCTGAAACTTGTATAGCTTTAGCAACTGTTTAAGAGTGTTTGATGGCCTTACTTGTAGTTGCGAAATTATACGATAATTTTTTCGGTTTGCCAGTAGTTCGTAACAGATCTTTCCGTATGAAGTTTCCACGAAACACCTTTAGTTGGAAATGATTGAAAATACGTGACAGAAGGATCCGAACAGTCTAGAATTAAGCTGCCCATGGAAATTCTATTTGGGGAATGACATACACGACACGATTCTCAAAATGTCATCTTCAAGTGCTGGTAGGGAAGAAAGCGTGATTTGAAAACGTACGCGGTCGATGTAGCTAAATTGTCTTTGAGTTTTAGTGAAATGGAACGTTCGACTAAAGGTTCTTAAATTCTCGTACTTTTCCGTCGCTCCCCGTGAAGTAATTGAAGTATGTCGGGCATGGTCTTAAGGTTATTTCCCTCCTTCGCAGGTGTCCTTTGGGAAAAATTCGTACGCGCGCTAGTTTCAAGAAAACCCTACCAAACTGTACATCAAAAGAAAGCCTAATAAATGCAGTTTACGATAAAATTATAATTTAGGCGATTTTTTATTTAGAGAGTGTCAGGAGCCGGTAAGGCGTGAAACGACCGAGGGTCCTTGTGGCTGCACAGGGTGTCAATCAACCTAAGCCTGTCAGGCTTCAGTTGCGAAGTATATGCAAAACGTGTTGCGTAAATAGACAACACTTCTAAAAATGTTCAAATATCAACATTTCGTGAAAGACTTTCGTTCGTCATTATCCCTGGAATGTTTTGGCCAAATTTCGCGCAAATCGTTCAATTCTACATAGCTTTTTAAAGGGTTAAAAAGGGTTAAAAATCTCTGCAAATTGGCTACTAGTTAAACCATTGATTCTAAAAATGTCCTTATTGTCATTCCACAGGTTGAAGTTCTTCGTCTGCTCCCTGGCTTTAGGTCTTCCATGTGAAGGAGCGCGAGCTGCCATCGACGGGGCGACAACAATTTCTAAAGAAAATTGCGAGAAACTATTTTAATAACTATCCAAAATAAACCATTGATAATTTCAGAAGATTGCCACAACAATGAAAAACCTCAAGATATTTAGATCGCTCAAATGCATTCCAATGATAGACTGCAATGGAAATTTCACGTATTTAGATGGGATAGAAAATGGTAGACTAACCGAAACTAGACGCGCAAAGTCTTGAGATTTTTTTTTTGGATCCTTTAATAGCATCTTTTGTGACCTTTGGAATTGAATTTTCTCTATCGCCTTCGTCACTTCCTCGGTAACACTGACAAAACGCGAGGCAGCCTTTTTGAAATTTAGTTAGCGCCGCTGCTATATGATCACTTTGCTCAAGTTGATTGTAGCGAGATATGACTCAATCCTCGTCCAATCAGAGCGCACACGTCTCTTTAATCACCAGAGAAATTATGCCAATAAGCAATAACTAAATTTCTTTTGCAATTTGGTGTAAAGAAACACTTGTAAATTTTAAAATATTCGCAGACAGAGATTTTTAAAAGGGTGATAAACTTCTTACCAAGTTATAGATAATAGTGAGCTGTTTTCATTTATCGAAATCACCTGAACAGAAAAGCTTTTCGTTTCACTGAGAGCTAGTTTGTAAGTGGACCCATATGATAGGTACACCACGAAAAGCTTGTTACAGTGTGCTGAGATAAACCTACAGCCTAAAATCAACCGCCTATAAACTTATACATGTTTTAGCCGTCATTGCTTTGAGAGTTATAATTTCTCCATTCAAACTCATCTTGTGTTATCGCAGATGGAGGGTCACGGTGAAAGTCCAGCCGAACTTCCAGTCAAGCAAGAAACTCAAGTAAGGGGTCCTCCTGGTCAACCGGTAATAGCTCCCGGCCAGCCAATCATGGCACCCACCCCTGGACAGCCAATTATGTACCAGATGCCACCCGGACAACAACCGGTTTTTGTCCAGGTGCCTGCCGGTCAGCCAGCCACAACGCCAGATGGGCAACCCATTCAGTATTATTATGTTCAGCAACCAGTTCAGCCAGGTCAACCAGCACAACCGGTTCAACCGCCTTATTTCCAAAGCCAACCTGGTCAACCTGTATCTTCTCAGCCACAAGCTAAACAGGGTCTAGACCTTACGATCGATACCAATTACCTCAAGTCCCCTCTCTGCTTCATTAAGATAGCGGAATTTGTAAGTGTGCTTACTTTGATGGAATTACCCACACAACCCTGCGATAACCAAAGTAGGAACAGTTTATGAACCACGTGTTGTTATCTTGGGTAAGCGACCAGGTTACTGAATTATTTACAAATGGTGGCGTACATTTGGAAACAGTTTGCGAATGGTTACCTTGCTAGTTGCAATAAAAAGCGCGGTGAGTTCTAGATATTTTCATGACGGAGATAAAAATCAATCGGTTTCTGGGCCATACGTATACTTCTCCTTTATTTACGAAACATTCTTTTGGGTAGAAAAACAACCTATCTTCTCTAAGCATCTTAAAATATCTATTTTGCAGGTTGTTCTCCTGGGGGCCTGGGCAAGTATCGTGAAATACTCTGAGGATCTTACCTATCCAGATGCAGACGACAAAGTTAACTTTTTTAAGGGCATTACCATTTTCTGCTGGGTGATGGTGATTATTTACATGATCATTCATATTTTCCGCGCTCCCAAACATTGCAGTTGTGGTCCAGAATCTAGGTTTACAATGACGGTTAGTAACGATTCATCTAAATAACTTTTGTTCAAGTATCATTGAATTTTTACATCTCGTTTATTTGGACTATGACAGGAATAACTGACCTTTGAATCATTTACTTATCAGTTTATTTATTCTACCTTATTTTTCTGCCATTATTTATCCATTCTACCGGAAATTGCAGACAATAGTTTAGTTGTTGTTGCGTTGCACTAAGAGACCAGAAACGCGTGAATAAGAGACTGGAAACTCGTGACTACGATCTTTGTTCTGTTGGAGGAAAAAGCTTGTCTTATATTTAGTTGATCTGCAGAGAAATGTTTTTCTAGACTATTAAAAACGTTGATTGATTAGGAAACGTGTGTTGGAGCGTTTCGACATTCATTTATGTGTTCATTTAGTTTTCTATTCATTTATCCATGCACGCCTTTGGTTAACTTTTTCTCATTCTTGTATATTTTATTGTCTGTCGTTTGCAGTCCCTGATCTTTTATTTTATCATGTTTGCGCTGTTGCTCGCCTGTACTGGAAACTTGGTCTCCAGGGCTGTTGAATTCGGAAAAGTCCTGAAAACCAGTCCTAAAATATATAGGCCGTTTGTTACTTCCCTTGGTGCTGCCCTGGTAAGTTCTTCAGTAACATGTGTAACATCCATAGGTAAAGTGAATTCCAAATTTCCATAGACGTAGTGCACCGAACAAACCTCAATTGAGGCTTTGGTTTCTTTTGTACAAGAGAACAATTCAGTGAAAATGTTCCGCGCAATGCACAGCCCAGGAGAAAAAAAAAGAAAAAGAGAACGAGCCACAAATTGAAGATAAATGCTTCAATATGTTGTCAATATTCACGCGAATTCAAGGTTAGCTCATTCTAGAAAGATTGCCCTTTACATTTTTACTTTTTATTCTTATCAGCTCCTTTTGATGTTTTTTTTTTTAGTTTTTGATTGGTTTGTATGGCTTGGTCCACGACACTTAAAAAGATAAACAAATATTTATTTTTTTTCCAATTCTTGGCAGGCCTTTGGATTTTTGTCATGTATAGCGTTTGCTGTGGATATGGTATTACAGTACAAGTTGTTTCAGACTCAGCGAGCTCAAGAGACACCAACCGAACAAGCGCAGGAATCTCCCCAAAGACAGGTCTGGGATATCAACAAGGAGTATTTACAGTCGCCATACTTTTACGTCAAATTGGCGGAAATGGTGAGTTACGATTACTTGTTGAAGAAATCTTTCTAAAGCCGTTTACTCTTCTAAATGTAAGCGAGGAAGAGCAGAAAGAGCGTGCGAGTACAGATGCGGAGCTAATCTTCACAGCAGGCGTCCTTGTATATTTCCTTTCCCGTCCCATTCGTTTGCGCGCCAGGCTTTCATATGAGAGAAATTAGAAGTTCTGTGAACAGATTATCACGCAGAAAAAGCTCTAGGACAGTCAAAAGTCCAGGGGGGGGGGAAGGGGGAGAATTTTGATTTCTATAAAGGATGAATTGGTCTCGTCATCATCTACTCCGGGGAATGATGGTGGTCAAAAAGGCGATTGACGTCACCATAATTGGTGAAGACGATGATCCAAAGTTAGTTAGGTCGTTGATGCCTTTTACTGCACACATAAGTGAGCGTCAGACAGAACGACTAAAAGAAAATGTGGATAAGTCGACTAGAGAGTGTAGCACTACCTCTACTCTATGGGGTGGGAGTACTGCAACGGCTGGGGATATTTTTTGAAGGATGACCTCAAGCGGTGGAGGGTGGCATGGGGTCTATAACAATATTTTATCTTCAGTGAGCCAATCCTTACCTCTACTTCCAGACATGATTCAAACCATTATTGCGACTGCTAAAAAACACCAGGCTGTTCTTCGCAAACTTCACGGTTTTATTCTTCACTTAGTTATCCTTCTCGATACAAAAGCAACCAAAAAAATCTTGGCAGGTCCAGGTTTTATCTTATCAGTACGTGCGGCACACCCTAACACCTAGATAACGATATCAGCTAACAAATGGACCGGTTAATTGATCCCATTACCGACACTGAAACCACAAGCGAAAAGTTGTCACCACGCAATCATTTATCTTACTAACTTCTCACACAATCTAACTTAAGTTGTCTGAACACCATTTCAGCTTTCATGGTTTTTGGACCGTTCTCACTTACTCAGTCGATTAGTAGTAATCATTCCACCAAGGTTGATCGCCATTTTTCACTTATTTTCAGTCTCTGCTCTTCGCGGCATGGGTGTGCGTCCTGACATTCTTTGACATGGATTTTTTCAAAAACGTAAATACGACTTACGAGGAACCTCAAGCAGAATTCTTTAGAGGAATCACGATCTTTTCCTGGGTGATGACTGCTCTTGTGACGTTGACATTTGTGATGAGTTTCGACAAGCTTTGTGCTCGGTCTTCACGCTGGACATTGACGGCAAGTATTGATCCTCTTTCTCTTGCCACGCCCCTTCATTATAAGAGTGATGACCCTGTTCGTCTCAAGAGGGCTACGCTTGAGTTATTTGTGACTAGAAAAAGGTGACCATATTAGGGACAAGTATGGCTTCGAAAGACGAAACTAAAAAGTAAATAACAGTGTGAATTGAAAAATGTCTTGACATTTTTATCTAAAGGCCGTGGCATAATTTAAGCCTTCTTACTTAATTTGTCACATTTATTTTGTCCACGTGTAACCTTTATGGCCCCCCCCCCCCCAAAAAAAAANACACAAATCGCAATTTTAAATGGCATTGCACCCTTTCAAATCTGCTCCCTCTGTGGTTTCGTCACCTCCCATGTAGAAACTTTGTCTTTTTTGAACTCGTTAACTCCTATGAGTGACCAAGACAGAATTTCTCCTTACAATACCAAACAGACGACTGGTGACTATAAAGAAAAATATCAATAGCTCATTTCCGAGTTACCCTCGGCCTTTTACTCAAAGCGCGAGTCCTAGTGCTCATCTTGCATGCAATAACAAGCAAATTGATATCATTTTCGTAAGAATCGTTGAGTACCAGGCCTCGTTTTGAAAAAGAGGCCAAATGTGATTCGGAAATGGCCTATCAGGGGAGTATTAGTCCATACAATACCGATTTCTCCTGAACTAACGTCATAAGAGCTACATTGCAGGGGGTAAGGGGAATCTCTAATAAGAGAGAGGTGTGGATGAAGTGGGTGGCCTTTTATCAATCTCGGTTTAATTGTTTTTTGTTTTTGTTTTTTTGTTTTCTTTTCTCCGCAGGCTTTGATCATTGGATTTTTCTTGTTTTCGTTGTTAATCGCTTGCTGTGGGAATCTTACTCCTCGGGTTGTCGATTTGGGGAAGGTCTACAAAAATTTGCTCAAAAAGGACAAGTCCAGTGTGCTAGCTCTGTTAGTAGGACTGGTATGTTGACTGATCTTTTCGTTTTGGCACGGAATTCAAAAGAAAGTTATTTGAACTTCAGATTAAGTGGTTGTTCGTGACATTTAAAATTGTTTATCGTGATGTGCTGAATTGTTTTCGACAAGGTCAGGAAATACCAATTTTAGTTATATAGGACAATCTCCTAGTTGGAAGAGGTAATCAAGAAGGAACGCATACGCCGAAGGGTGTGCAAGACTGACGATGATTGTTATTAAACATTTGGAACTTTCGGGGCACGCTCATTATTAAGGATGTCAAATCTCGAGTGATATACCTAACGCACGAACTTACCTGTGGATCTCTGTTGGACGGAACTGATAAATTTAGCAAAAGGGTGATGGTAGTAAACACGAAGCAGCGGTGACAACCCGATAGCGTTGACAGAAATGCACATGGGTGATTTTTTTTTTACTGGGATAATGTATGCGGATACTTCATGTACACAACATTTTTATGTGGGTGCAATGGGAGACGCGATGCCCTCGTGGTCAGTGCACTGGACCCTACATAGATGGGTCTGGGTTCGAGTCCTGACGGTGTTGTATTCTTTAGTGCGACATTTTACTTTCACGACGTCTCTTTCTTGTCGGAAATTACTTTCCTTTGACGGTAAGCATTTCAGCTAGTGGGACGTTTCCCGGTCCTTGAAGCTAGTGTATATACTCACATTTACTTTCTAAATCTGCCTACTGGCAGGGGTTTGGATTCTTATCATGTGTGGCATTTGGCGTGGATATGGTGTTACACTACAAGCTGTTTCAGACGCAACGCGCTCTGGAAACACCAACTGAGCAGGCGCAGGGACCTCATGAAAGACGAGCTTGGGATATTAACAAAGACTTCTTGAATGCTGCGACGTTCAAAGTGAAATTAGCGGAAATTGTAAGGTTTGGTATGATTCACAAGGGAACTATACCTTTAAAAATGATTATCTTGAATCACCCGTTCAAGTTCAAAGTATTTTGCTCGATCACTGTATTATTATTTATTTGTTTTTTGTTAAGTTTGATAATAATCCAAGTCAAATTGAAAAGCCATAGGGTACAAAGTAACCCTGTAAAATTGTAGATTAAATTTAACGTTTTAATTTAAAATTTTACATACACTAAGCGATCAGAATTTACAGATTTCACCCCTTCAGTTCAGATATTTCTTCTAAATCCTTGATTTGGGTTGGAAAGGATGGATTACATTTGCCTTGTGCTTGGATTATCGTGTATATTGCATATTGCTACACAGTATCACCTTAAAATGTTGCTAACAGCGAAAAGCATTGGGGTGATGTTACATGAATAGATTTTATAAGTCACTTTATTAATCCATACCTTTGATCACAACCCTATTGAGGCAACACTCGTTTTACTAGACTGTTACGATTTTTAATGCAACAACAAATTTGACCTTGAGTGAGATCATTTCTGAATATTTCTCAAAAAAATGCATAATATCCATAACGAAATGGTCCGTTGAAAATCCTTTACTTTTACGTAACCTAAATATCATCGACCTTAACCATCATTTTACACCCATTTTCAGATGTTACTGTTTGCAGCATGGGTGTCCATTGTTGTATACTTTGACATGGGTAGTTTCAAGACAACGACACCAGCTGAGGATTCAAACGCCGATTTCTTTAAGGGAGTCACTATCTTTTCCTGGGTGATGGCTGTTCTCTCCATTTTGACATTTACATTGAGTTTTGATAAGCTATGTGGTCTCTCGTCCCGATGGACATTGATGGTAAGCGATAGAATTCTTAGGCCAAGAGAAATTAGCTGATAAATTATCCTCATCGAGGTTATCAAGCTGAGCGTTGCAGTAAACTATGTGCTTTATTCCAAAGGAAGTCCGCCCAAGTTATTTTGAGACTTTTTTAGGATATTTCAGCGTTCTCCACGTATTGATATTCTAACTCACAACCGACAAGTGGACACCTTCCCTCCCCCCCCACCTTTCAGGTCCTCGTATAATAGCTACCGTACGTACTCACGACTGCAGCACTGAGTTAAACATCGTTCAAAATTTTTCAATATCGTACACAATATTTCGTGCTTTCGCGTAATTTGTACCTTGCACGTTTGCTAAATGTTTCGGTGAAGACCGCCGCACGGCAAAGTTACTGAGAAAAATTTCCGCAACGTTTTGTTATTTAAAGATACTTCTCGCATATCCAAATCGAGAGCGATAAAAAAAATTGATTATGGGGAATTACCCACAGCACCAATACCCATATCGAGGATGGGTGGGGGGGGGAGGTTGCTCTTTCTTAGGTTGGTCTCCCCCGTCTCCTGTTGTAGCGACTAATCGTGTCCCTTGCATAGGTTGTATTGCTATTTTTAATCTATTTTTATGTATTTTGTATTCGACTTAGGAAAACAGAGATCAATTGCTGAAACCGGGAGGAAAAATTCGCTGTTTGACCCATTATTTAAGATGTGTTTACATCTTTGTTATTTTCAGACTTTGTGCGTTTACTTCCTTGTGGTCATTTTGTTAATCGCTTGCAGTGGAAACCTGACTAAAGATTTCATCGAATCGGCAAAGACTTTTAAACATGTGAGCACGAAGTACAGGAGTAATATAGTAGCTCTGATGATAGCAGTGGTAAGTAAAGTCTGTGTGCTCGCACACTAAAATCAGCAAAGCTTTGTTTCGCCAATAATCGAAAGTGAAATTCTAGTGATAACATGGCATGTTAAGACGTGAGTTAGGCCTTAAAATCAACGACGAAGCTATTTCACAACCCATAACTAGCACAGTCTACGAAATAGTTTTCTCTTATATCCACCGTCAGGGATTCTTTCAGTTAGAGATAAGAGGGCAGCATTTGTAGCTAGTGTTCTCTGTAACAGTCACGAGCGTTGATTAGAAAGCTTTGACTCTCTTGTGTGATCAGTTGGTAAATTCTCCTTCCTGTTAATTCAAGCGTGGTCTAATTCATTGGTTGATAAATAAAGCTGATATTACGTGCGGACTGCGCAATACGTGATTCATGTGTCAGTCATCAATAATTTTGAGCTGATAAACCAGAAACTCTAAATTGTAAGAATTCACTCATTTTGACTCGACAGCCCCTGGGGTACATCTCGTCGATAATTGTTTTTGTGGATATCATCCTCATGTTCAAGCTGTATCAGCACCAAAGAGCACAGGAGACTGGCCCCTTGGAACAGTCGGGTGTCGTTCAACATCCTGCTGTTGTGATCGTCCCGCAAGGCACCAAACAGGTACCTTATCAACCGGCTGCATATCCGGGACAACAGCCCGTTCAATATCCGGGACAACAGCCCGTTCAATATCCGGGACAACAGCCTGTTCAATATCCGGGACAACAGCCTGTTCAATATCCGGGGCAACAGCCCGTTCAATATCCGGGGCAACACCCTGTCATGGCAGGAGTTCCTGCACCAGCCTACAATTTCCAAGCGCAAAGTGGATAAAATCTGAAATGAAATAGAACAATTTGTATTTGCACGGAGCAATTTTTCACAGTTGAGATATAAACTAAGGTAACATATTTTCGCGCAGTGATAAGACGGTAGTCGCTTATAGTTAAGTTTTATATCGCTGTCTGGTTTGCTGATGTTGTAACACAACTCAAGATGATATGCTGTGTAGAGAAAGTTTAAACAATTTTATTTTACAGCGAAGGTAAAGCGTGTGTGTTTGGGATTTCACTTGGCCAGTATGGTCAGAGAAAAAGTAGAGCAAAAACGTTAACCAGAATATGAAGTAGCTAATTAACAATGTCTGCTTGCTCTCATAGGGAATACTAATGTTCGGCAGTATATTGAGCTACAACTATGTTAGTTAAAAACTATAAACATGCATTATGCATTTAAACAGAGTATCAAATACAACGAATATATCGATGGTAATTCAAGTTTGTTTCATCTCTGTGTATTCTACGATATCACCGTCAATAAATGATCGAAGATCTGAGTTTATATAAAATTGTGATTTCGTTGTTACAGTAACTTTCAACTGAGCGTCGAATCAGTGCAATACGGGATTAAGTTGAGTTTTCTCTTCACAAGAAAATTGCGCCACTCTCAGGGAAACCCTCTCTAACTAATCTCAACTTTGTAAACACGTCCTTCCGAGGTGGCTTTATGTACTAATCGACTTAGTGATAAGACCGGATGGGAAAACATTTGGTGCGAGGTCATGATGTACTGACCGAGCTCAGCGAAGTCTGTGCGTTATTTTCCCGTTCAGCTCGACCAAGCTCAGTCAATAGGCATTTTATTCTCTCTTTAGCTTAGTTAATAAGTTTTTATCTTGTGACCGCTAGGTTTTAATAATGATGAAAGCATTTTTTAATTTAAAATTGGACTAGAGAACGTACATAAGAAGGGTGCGCGATGAACAAGTTTAAAAGGTTCTACAATAGAAAAAAAATACTTTTTCTATATTTCTCCGAATCAGGACAAAACCATCACAATTGATAAAAACAAACTCATGTCTATTTTATTCTAGGTATACGTTCATAATTAGAATTCACGTTCTCGGAAAAGGTTACTGAAATAACGGCTCGAATGCCATTTTTCTACGAATGTTTGGGTAACTGCGTAATCAGGCTTGAAACTTGTCTTCATTGTCCTTCTAAGAAACCTATCACCTCTGCATCTTCTTCGGGAGTCAGCTTTCTTCGCAGAAAATCGGCGAAATAGATTGTAACTCGAGTCGGCGTGGGAGAGCTGAGCGTCCATTTTTCAAATGTTTGGGTTGCTACGTAAACGGGGCATTCTGACTTTCTGAGAAACCACCCATGTGTCCTATTCAGGTATCGAGTTTCTTCGCAGTAATTGGCGACGCAAACAGTCATTGCCAATCTGAAGCTTGTGTCCGAAGCAAGAGGATATTTTAGGACCTCAAAACGCTGAGAAAACGAAGGTATGCTAATAACCCACGAACTAGTAACATTGAAATTGTAAAAACGACTTGACAATTTCGAATTTTCGACTCTCGCTAAGGAGATAATGCTAATCAATAAACACTGAAGCATATGACTTGCATGCATGCAATGAATGGACACGGGGCGGAGAGTGATTCAAATCAATGAAGCAAAATTTCTTGTTCAGAAAATGCAAATGCTATTTTATTTTCGCTAAAAGGAAGTCTATTGGTGTACACGGACTTTTACAACTCCGTAGTCCTTGCATATTTAAAGAATTACGCTCTGGGGGAACGTTCTATATGATCTCCTGGATCATGGACAGTCAACTCGTTGTAAAAACCTAGCAAGGGAGTCCGAAAAGAAGCCTCATTCAATTTGATGTCCATAGCTTCTGCGCGATTCCGCAGTTACTACGAAAGGGTGCAATGAAAAATATCATATTTCGGGTCTGCTAAAACTGATCCGTTTTCAGAACCTCGTTTCTTCATTTGCTGACAAGTTAGTCGGGCTAGAGCTGGAGATCAAGTTTTGTGTCATAGAGAAGTGATCTTCGTAGTAAATCAACCTACCGACAGCAAAATGAGCAATTCAATTCGATCAACGAGTGTAAACAATAAAGATTTCCGTTTGCGACAGCATGAACTATCTCCAATTTCCAGGAACTTGAAGTCATTTTCTACGTTCCTTTAAGATTTGACCTGTGGGTTACGTTTATATAGCCACTTCTCCTACAACGATGGTAGATGTGAAAGCGCGGTTTCCACAAGGCGATAGTTACCAGTGAAATACGTTATTCAGTATTAATGTGAAGTCTTTCCGTGAATTTTGATATCACTGCAAAAATGCCACTTAATTTTCAACTAGACTTTTTACCGCTTGCTTGTTCTTTGGAGTCTTTCAGAGGCCTTTTTCTTACAAGCAATCAAAACCTAAAAATAATAAAATCACTTAAATCAATAAAGGTCAAGAATTTGGAATATGCATCTCAGCTCATCGAACTCGAAAAATGTTTTCAACTTGTAACTACCATAAAAATTATTAGGACCTTAAGTTTTGTCAGAAAATATATATATATTTTTTTAAAATGTGGCCCCGATAATGGTATTATAAAAATTCACAGTCTCCATCCAAATTGGTACTTTTTTCCAGGATAGAACGCAAGTTAACATGATTTTACAAACTAACTTTCAGCAGCAAAAGGTGCTTCCGAAGGAGTGAGGTGTTCCTATTGTAACCTGTGTACCTTAAATAATCAATAATTGGACATTTGTTGATAATATCATCGAGGAAACAATTAAAAAGATAACAAAATTTAAATTGCTTTGGAGGGCTATTTGATTTTAAAATTTTGAATATCTTTTTGGTGCCATTGAACCGACCAATGTATTTGATATCATTATATCGTTTGAGGGTATTAATAGAGTTAATAGACAACACAGATTCATGTGACCACATCAAAGCGTCAGCTCAGGCAATAACTCGTGATTTCAACTGAACCACAGGTGAGAAGTCCTCAAGCCCAGGGACAGACCAGTGAAAAAGTCATGCAGCAGACATCGCCTAACCAGCAACAGACAGTATTTGGAGCACAGCCTCCCATGGGACAACAAGGCTATGTCCCTGCTGGACAACCTGTACCATTTGTTCCAGCCCCAGGTGTCCCTGTCAATCAAGCTGGAGGAGGGCAGATTGAGAGACCCTATTTGAAAAGCGGGCTAAGTTTCTCGAGATTTGCGGAAATTGTAAGTAGTTAGAGAATATGGATGGGGGGGTTTTAACGGATGTTCATGGATTGTTTGAGTTTTCGATTTGAAACTTTGCTCAATTTGTTTGTTTTCTTGATTTTTCAAATGCAATGAAATTATAAAGAAATAAAAAAAAAAGAGAAGTCCTACCATTCTATACTTTTCCTACCCAACTCTTCAGTTTAGTATTATAGTTTGGATTTCTGTTTCGACACTTTGCCTTCTTAGTATTTTTGGCCAGCAAATTTTTCTTCTATTCAGTTTTTATAGTTTGAATTTATCACTTACTAACATTCTTGGAAATTTAGTGTTACGTTGGTTTATTTAAAGATGATGAAATGCACATGACCCACAACTGTATTGTTGACGAGTATTGTATGGATCCTTACAAATTAATTGAGGTCGCACATCAGGAGACCCTCATTCTAAATTATAATGAATTAGAAAGCCTCACTGAAACACCACTTGTGGTACTATCTTGCCTTTCTCTCGCTTTGTGCCAAGAATCAAAAAGAGGAGGTTAGTATAATCATTGAGAGGCGTACATTTTCCTCTCATGCAGTTCGTCTTGTTAATCGCCTGGCCATGCGGTGCCGTTTACGCAAACCGAACTCTCGGTTTGGATGGTCGAGCAACAGCCTTTGCAGGGATCGCCACGTTTTGTTGGGTGATGGTGATAATCATGCAGATTGTGTTTTTAGTTGGCATCAACAAAGACCAGCGATATTTCAGGACACCATCAACTTCCACATTGATAGTGAGTATAAAAACTTATTAATTATGATAACTATTGAATGCGATACTCATACAAGGCCGTTTTCAAGATGCCCAAAGACTCTCTCTGAAAACGGGTGTCTATGTAAAGCGTGCTCTGAAAGGTACTGAGACGAAAAGCAGCCTTATTCTTGCGAAATCGATACAAATCATTTCACAACAAAGTTTTTTCATTCTTGGCTTTTGAAGCTCGGAGTGGTCTTTTAAGTCACTGATCGGGTAAAGGGACATTTTTTAGCGCTATCTAGCAAAATTCAGCCACTAGAAAATTGATATTAATTTGAGTGAGATTAAAATCACAACAGCTTAGAACTTTGAAGGAACAATTGGCCAACTAAAAAATTACCAAGAAATGCTCTTGTATATCAAATGACAGAGAATTAGCACGAATTCAATTACTATTCAAGGCTGAACATTTGACTTTCTCAAATGCACAAATTACACCCAGCTAGTCACTCGGCAGATATATTTCCTTCCGTCTATTCAAGATGTCTGAATCTTTCTTACGCTTCTGCACCTTGGAAAACGAGGTTGTGAGGCTGTAATTTCTCCGCGTTCAGGCGGCAGACGGCATGTTTTTGCTCTCTCATCGTTGTTACTGACAACAAAGTGTTCAAAACCAATTTATTTTCAGCTCTAACTAATCAAAAACCGTCATTTCTTCTTTCTCGTAGGTTTTAACTGTGCAAGTCCTTATGACGATACTACTCTTTGCTTGTACTACAAGCCTAACAATGCGCGGCATCGACTTGTATAAAGCTAACATAGCTTACAGTGATCGATACGGTGAAAGCAAACCCTTTGACGTAAACAATCTTCTGCTCCTTGGTGCGTTGGTACGTTATTTTACTTTTGACCCTAAATTTGCTGTTACCACCGTCTTGAGGAATGGAGGCAGTAGTGAATTCGTGGGGTGGGGTGGGTCCAGGGATCTTGACCTCTCTTCCCCCGCCCACCCTATCAGACCTGTTGATTTTTCTAACTTGACTGAAACTGACGATAAAAGGATGTTATTTTACCACTAAATATGAAGCAGCTAAGATTTGCATGTCTTGAAATATTTCTTAGCTTGTTCAGGCCTTAGTGCGTGGATGGAAATATGCTCTTGTAGTAATAAATTGGCCATCAATTTAAAACGATTTATTATATAAGTACACCTGCGCAAGCATAGCAGGCGGTAGAATCACAGCAAGCCCAATTGAAAAGAAAAAAAAATGATCTTTCATGAAGTTTTGCTCTCTTAATTTTACAGGTCTTTGGTGTGTTGGCATGTTTCTTCTTCATGGAAGACATCCCACTACTGACAAAGATGTACAGATTGCAAAGAGCAAAGGAAATTGCTGCGGCAGATAATACTCAGTAGCCTTTTATTGACCTGTAGCTGCAGTTGTTTGGATCAGCTACAGCGCAGCCAGTTCGCTAAATTTCTAGAAAATAGCTTTGTTTGCACGTGCGTCAATCTTTAGCTTTGATTAATTTTTCGTAGTTAGCTGCATAAAAGGCGTCATGTTGAAACGACCCTGTATCAACTTAGCTCGTTTTGACTTGTCCCTTATTAATATTCGACAATTATCATGATTATTCTTATTCCCTTGATTGCTTTACTTAAGTATGACAAGCATGTATAACAGGCTTTATCAGAGTAAAACTGTGACACTAATCATACTAAAAAAGTGAAGATCGTAAAAGACATTTAATCGTAGTGAGTTTCACATAGAGTACTATGTTTATACATCGTTGGTTGACCCGGCCCCCCCAGGTTGAAATAAAAATTGTAGTATTAACTATGATAAAAGTGTTACCGAACCGTCGATGGTTAGCCTTCGTAAGAGACATATCACGGTAAATTACGACGATGCTACAAATCAGTCGTGACACCTTATTATCGATTTTTGCTATTCGATATTAGTTTTCACCCTTTTATTGTCCTTTGGTGGCTTAACAATGGAAAGGAAAAAAAACTAAAGGTGAAGTCTGTATTCGAGCCAAGCGTCCCCCCCCCCTCGTCGGAGTTTATCCCACTTTTTCCTAAGCATGAAGCGACTGGGAGTATATCTAGTATTACTACTCCCCCCTGGATGGGATGGTGGGATGTTGATAAGGTTACCTCACCTCCCCTCCCGTCAGCATTTCATCAGACTTCCCTGAGCATTCACTAGTACCTATCTATGCTGGAGAGAGACTGTGAGAGTAAAGTGCTTTGCAAAACAACAATTAGTCCCTCGATCCACGTAGCTTTCCAGTGAGGCTCAGAAAATTAAAAAAAAAAAAAAAATTCCCAGAAATCCTTCTTACTGTTCTCGGAAAGGCTATCTTTTCACCGAATGTATTTTTCTTTTTAAGGCCCTTAAAATTTGAGGATGGTCCGAACATTTTTATGAAATCCACACCTTATCTGTTGATCTTTAAAATTAACTTTTACAACCCATTTAAAAAAAGAATTACATAATTTGTCTGTTACATTTGTATGCCGTGTTCGAAATTTGCCCCAGCACTTCTACTAAATTCATTGGACAGATGTTGGAATAGAGAAAACAATTGCGAAGCTGGAGAGCAAGTCACCAGTCAAAATACTACATACATAAGCATGAAATCATCCTATAATCGAAGACCACAAAGAAAATCGAACAACTTTTTATCGAAATCGTCTAAACGTCCTCCAAAAGTCAATTCGTGGAAGGAAATATATCAGCTTAAGCCACTAATGCAATTACCTCCGCCTTGTGCATCGAAGAGTTCAGAACCAAAAAAAAATAGGGTCTCTTTGAAATGGTTAGATTGCTTTATATTCATTGATAATTCTCAAGAATTATCGAATGCAGTCTATAATAAAAGCAAGTTGCGTCAAACGTAACGGTTAACGGTTTCAATAGCGTGAAAGGTCGCACATTTGTACATGTACGTATTGCAGACCTAAATTTTCTGTGTCACTCTGGTTCAGAGATGAAATCTTATACAAATAATATTATGTTCATCTGCTTTTCCACGAAAGCAGTCAAGACATAAGTAGCTGCACCTACCCTTTAGGACTGACAGTCTCTGCTATCAGCGCGAGGGAAAAGAGCGGTACTGAGAGGGAAAATTCTTGAATCGTACAATTTATATCCTCAAGAAAGAAAAGTATACGTTCCCCTTACTTCTATAGAGGTCTAGACACGTAGACGATCTCCGTGCACTCAAAGGTACTGTTAATTTTTCGGTTGCTGTAACGACAGGCCGTATCTATGAGCCCATACCATTTCCTAGTAATTTTCATCGAGTAGTAGTATAATTAATGCACAATTTTTATGTAGTGCTAAATGTCATCATAATCCAAACGTTTTCGGAAAGTCTATCGACCTTTAGGCTGTTTACTTGTTAAGTAAATTGTTTTCTCCATAATTTAGGTCTTTTGGTTTTACAGCCTTTTCAGGCGCCTTTTATTTGCAAAGTGTAATCACTAATACTGAAAAATGTTGGGAAATACCTGTGGAAAGGGCAAAACGAGTTGCCTCAAAAGTCCTTTAAATTGCTCATCCACGAAACCAAATTTTCAGTGATAGATGTCAAGCATTTGTCACGAATGTGCAACTTGGAAATATTTTAATTCACTACGATGAGGATTCAAACCTCAGACTTTTA